TGTGTGTGTCTATTTATCTATTTATCTATCTATCATCTATCTATCTATCTATCTATCTATCTATCTATCTATCTGTCTATCTATCTATCTATCTATATGTCTATCTATCTATCTATCTATATATATACATATATATATATATATATATATATATATATATATATATATATATATATATATATATATTTATACATATATATATATATGTCTCTGTGTGTGTGTGTGTGTGCGTGTGTATAAATATATATATATATTACATATATTTATATATTTTTTCTTTTTTTCCAAAACATCTTAAACTTTCATAGACAACAAGCAACAGAACAGGAACTCATCCGTGACTTTGCTTCGTGCAGATAGCGCTGGCAGACTAATATTTATCATATGAATGAATTACTCTTTCCTGCGAGTCACGTGGTCTTGGAGCTGAAAGGTTATCCCGGGTCTTGTGTATTCCCCGGTCATAAATAACGTTTTGTTGGGGTGGGGAGTGTATTCCTCTAAGAAACAGATACACAGGGAGATGAAGGGATGAATCAATAGACGGTGTACACTCAGTTACGTAAACATTACCTTCACTATGCACTAATTTTATTTTTTCAGATCAAGAATCGATAGTTTTAGTTTTGTATATTTCGTTTTTGGTACAGTGTTTTCTTTTATATGATGATCTTAGTATTTCTTTGGAATATGGCATTGTCTTTAACTTAACATTAGCTGTAAATTGATACTTGATAAAACTATCCGATAAAAAAAGTCTGTATTTACCCGCTCTGCCCATTTACCCTTAGGCGATTGGCATTTTGTAAATCTTGTCTGATGGTGTTTGTGAAAAATCAGAGTTTCAACAAATCGATTCTGACAAATAAATTGCGTCACTGCAAATGACATAAAGATAAGTTAATAGATAGGAATTATTGATAAATGGAATAGATGGATAGAAATTATTGATAAAAGGCATAGATAGATAGAAATTATTGATAAATGGCAAATAGGCAAATTCCAATTTCAACGAAGAATTGATAGATAGAATAGGTAGAAATACATGTATGGTATACACGAATATACATACAAATACGATTTAACAGAAATAGAGCCAGGTAAAGAGATGGCGTAATCTTTTAATTACCGAAATAACTTATTGTTAATAATGTTACCACGATTGGTACTGAAGATAACATTTCAGCGATCATTATTACATGTTCAATTTCTCATTTCGCCTTGGCCCTCTTCTCTGAACAAAAGCTCGTCTCACTTAAGATGAACCGAAAAAGCAAAATTCACGAAGATGACATTGAAATAACCTTGCTTTGGCCTCTGACGCTGAAACCTTTGTTGGGAAAACTGCGTAGACAGATCCTGAGGGCGTTAATTTGCTTTAGGATTTTCAACTCTATTATCACAGACAGATGTCGATAATGATGTTTATTAGGGTCATATACATATTGCAATTATTGTGTTGATTGTGTACACATATAACAATCATGTTCATTTTGTCCACAGACAGTACTAGGATTGAATGGGATTTGTTTTGTAAAGATATGCATAACAGTGATCTTGGTGCATTAAACATGTCTGTATGATAGGTTATATATATATATATATATATATATATATATATATATATATATATATATATATATATATATATATGTATATATATATACATATATATATATATATATATATATATATATATATATATATATATATATATATATATATATATATATGTATATATATATATATATATATATATATATATATATATATATATATATATATATGTATATATATATAATATATATATATAATATACATATATACTATATATAATATAGATAAATATATACATATATATATATATATATATATATATATATATATATATATATATATATACATATATATATACATATACATATATATATATATATATATATATATATATATATATATATATATATATATATATATATATATATTTATATATATATATATATATGTATATATATATATATATATATATATATATATATATATATATATATATATATATATATATATATATATATATATATATATATATATATATATATATATATAATATATATATATATATATATATATATATATATATATATATATATATATATATATATATATATACATGTGTATGTGTGTGTGTGTATGTGTGTGTGTGTGTGTATTGTTTTTCTTGTACATCCTTACACCTTTGATAAAGGGAAAGTATATATATGGCATTTTTTTCTAGCCACCTTATTAAAGCAATTACATACTTCAATGAATTATAGGATAGAAAAATGAACGTTTGATTTTAATAATGCAGTCCGTAACAAATTTACTATTAATATGAACAGTATTAACAATCAAAATATAATAATAAATAGTAAAGTCTTGTAATTATGACAAGCACTTTAATAAATGTGATTTTGAGAATATAACCTATCGATGGTAATCTCTCTAAAAATAATTTTTA